GTGGGTGTGGGGCACCAGGTGGGTAGGTGGGTGTGGGGCACCAGGTGACAGGTGGGTGTGGGGCACCAGGGGGATAGGTGGGTGTGGGGCACCAGGGGATAGGTGGGTGTGGGGCACCAGGTGATAGGTGGGTGTGGGGCACCAGGTGACAGGTGGGTGTGGGGCACCAGGGGATAGGTGGGTGTGGGGCACCAGGGGATAGGTGGGTGTGGGGCACCAGGGGATAGGTGGGTGTGGGGCACCAGGTGATAGGTGGGTGTGGGGCACCAGGGGATAGGTGGGTGTGGGGCACCAGGTGATAGGTGGGTGTGGGGCACCAGGGGATAGGTGGGTGTGGGGCATCAGGTGATAGGTGGGTGTGGGGCACCAGGGGATAGGTGGGTGTGGGGCACCAGGTGATAGGTGGGTGTGGGGCACCAGGGGGATAGGTGGGTGTGGGGCACCAGGTGATAGGTGGGTGTGGGGCACCAGGTGATAGGTGGGTGTGGGGCACCAGGTGATAGGTGGGTGTGGGGCACTAGGGGATAGGTGGGTTTGGGGCACCAGGGGATAAGTGGGTGTGGGGCACCAGGTGATAGGTGGGTGTGGGGCACCAGGGGATAGGTGGGTGTGGTGCACCAGGGGATAGGTGGGTGTGGGGCACCAGGGGATCGGTGGGTGTGGGGCACCAGGTGATAGGTGGGTGTGGGGCACCAGGGGATAGGTGGGTGTGGTGCACCAGGGGATAGGTGGGTGTGGGGCACCAGGGGATCGGTGGGTGTGGGGCACCAGGTGATAGGTGGGTGTGGGGCATCAGGGGATAGGTGGGTGTGGGGCACCAGGTGATAGGTGGGTGTGGGGCACCAGGTGATAGGTGGGTGTGGGGCACCAGGGGATAGGTGGGTGTGGGGCACCAGGGGATAGGTGGGTGTGTGGCACCAGGGGATAAGTGGGTGTGGGCACCAGAAGATCGGTGGGTGTGGGGCACCAGGGGATAAGTGGGTGTGTGGCACCAGGTGATAGGTGGGTGTGTAGCACCATAAGACAGGTGGGTGCAGCACCAGTAGACAGCTGGGTGTAGCACCATACCACAGCTGGGTGTAGCACCATACCACAGCTGGGTGTAGCACCAGTAGACAGCTGGGTGCAGCACCAGTAGACAGCTGGGTGTAGCACCATACCACAGCTGGGTGTAGCACCATACCACAGCTGGGTGTAGCACCAGTAGACAGCTGGGTGCAGCACCAGTAGACAGCTGGGTGCAGCACCAGTAGACAGCTGGGTGTAGCACCATACGACAGGTGGGTGTAGCACCATACGACAGGTGGGTGTAGCACCTTAAGACAGCTGGGTGCAGCATCAGTAGACAGCTGGGTGTAGCACCATAACACAGCTGGGTGCAGCACCAGTAGACAGCTGGGTGTAGCACCTTAAGACAGCTGGGTGCAGCACCAGTAGACATCTGGGTGCATCACCAAACGACAGGTGTGCATGCCACAGTAACCACCCCAATACCCCACACCTGCACACCAGAAATAACAATCATCTCAGCCACACCTACCGTCCGCAGGTAAAGCTAGCGAAGGACAGGAAGAAGGGTGACAAGATAGTGACGGACTCCCAGGAGCGGGCCTACTGGCGGGTCTACCGTCCTCCTCCGGGCTTCACCAACTGCCTAGAGACCGCCCCCGTCCCGGACAAAACAAATATGGCCAACAGAGTCCGCAAGAAAACGGTCGACGATCTCAAGAAAGATGTAAGGATTTGAGATTTTGTGTTATTGTGTGTTGGGGAGAGTAAATTTTATACAACAGTGACTGGCTGGAAGTGTACAGGTACACAACAGTGACTGGCTGGTAGTGTACAGGTACACAACAGTGACTGGTGGCTGGTAGTGTACAGGTACACAACAGTGACTGGCTGGTAGTGTACTGGTACACAACAGTGACTCGTGGCTGGTAGTGTACTGGTACACAACAGTGGCTGGTAGTGTACCGGTATACAACAGTGACTGGTAGTGTACCGGTATACAACAGTGGCTGGTAGTGTACCGGTATACAACAGTGACTGGTAGTGTACCGGTATACAACAGTGGCTGGTAGTGTACAGGTATACAACAGTGGCTGGTAGTGTACCGGTATACAACAGTGACTGGTAGTGTACCGGTATACAACAGTGGCTGGTAGTGTACCGGTATACAACAGTGGCTGGTAGTGTACCGGTATACAACAGTGACTGGTAGTGTACCGGTATACAACAGTGGCTGGTAGTGTACCGGTATACAACAGTGGCTGGTAGTGTACCGGTATACAACAGTGGCTGGTAGTGTACCGGTATACAACAGTGGCTGGTAGTGTACCGGTATACAACAGTGGCTGGTAGTGTACAGGTATACAACAGTGGCTGGTAGTGTACAGGTACACAACAGTGGCTGGTGGCTGGTAGTGTACTGGTATACAACAGTGGCTGGTAGTGTACAGGTACACAACAGTGGCTGGTGGCTGGTAGTGTACTGGTACACAACAGTGGCTGGTAGTGTACCGGTACACAACAGTGGCTGGTGGCTGGTAGTGTACTGGTATACAACAGTGGCTGGTGGCTGGTAGTGTACTGGTACACAACAGTGGCTGGTAGTGTACTGGTACACAACAGTGGCTGGTGGCTGGTAGTGTACTGGTATACAACAGTGGCTGGTAGTGTACTGGTATACAACAGTGGCTGGTAGTGTACAGGTACACAACAGTGGCTGGTGGCTGGTAGTGTACTGGTACACAACAGTGGCTGGTGGCTGGTAGTGTACTGGTATACAACAGTGGCTGGTAGTGTACTGGTATACAACAGTGACTGGTAGTGTACAGGTACACAACAGTGGCTGGTGGTTGGTAGTGTACCGGTATACAACAGTGGCTGGTAGTGTACTGGTATACAACAGTGGCTGGTAGTGTACAGGTACACAACAGTGGCTGGTGGCTGGTAGTGTACAGGTATACAACAGTGGCTGGTAGTGTACAGGTACACAACAGTGACTGGTAGTGTACAGGTACACAACAGTGACTGGTAGTGTACAGGTACACAACAGTGACTGGTAGTGTACAGGTATACAACAGTGACTGGTAGTGTACAGGTACACAACAGTGACTGGTAGTGTACAGGTACACAACAGTGACTGGTAGTGTACAGGTACACAACAGTGGCTGGTAGTGTACAGGTACACAACAGTGGCTGGTAGTGTACAGGTACACAACAGTGGCTGGTAGTGTACAGGTACACAACAGTGACTGGTAGTGTACAGGTACACAACAGTGACTGGTGGCTGGTAGTGTACCGGTATACAACAGTGGCTGGTAGTGTACAGGTACACAACAGTGACTGGTAGTGTACAGGTACACAACAGTGACTGGTAGTGTACAGGTACACAACAGTGACTGGTGGCTGGTAGTGTACCGGTATACAACAGTGGCTGGTAGTGTACTGGTATACAACAGTGACTGGTAGTGTACAGGTACACAACAGTGACTGGTAGTGTACAGGTACACAACAGTGACTGGTGGCTGGTAGTGTACCGGTATACAACAGTGGCTGGTAGTGTACTGGTATACAACAGTGGCTGGTAGTGTACAGGTACACAACACTGACTGGTAGTGTACAGGTACACAACAGTGACTGGTGGCTGGTAGTGTACCGGTATACAACAGTGGCTGGTAGTGTACCGGTATACAACAGTGGCTGGTAGTGTACCGGTATACAACAGTGGCTGGTAGTGTACAGGTACACAACAGTGACTGGTAGTGTACAGGTACACAACAGTGACTGGTGGCTGGTAGTGTACCAGTATACAACAGTGGCAGGTAGTGTACCGGTATACAACAGTGGCTGGTAGTGTACAGGTACACAACAGTGACTGGTGGCTGGTAGTGTACCGGTATACAACAGTGGCTGGTAGTGTACCGGTATACAACAGTGGCTGGAAGTGTACCGGTATACAACAGTGGCTGGTAGTGTACAGGTACACAACAGTGACTGGTAGTGTACAGGTACACAACAGTGACTGGTAGTGTACCGGTATACAACAGTGACTGGTGGCTGGTAGTGTACCGGTATACAACAGTGGCTGGTAGTGTACCGGTATACAACAGTGGCTGGTAGTGTACCGGTATACAACAGTGGCTGGTAGTGTACCAGTACACAACAGTGACTGGTGGCTGGTAGTGTACTGGTACACAACAGTGACTCGTGGCTGGTAGTGTACTGGTACACAACAGTGACTGGTGGCTGGTAGTGTACTGGTACACAACAGTGACTGGTGGCTGGTAGTGTACTGGTACACAACAGTGACTGGTGGCTGGTAGTGTACAGGTACACAACAGTGGCTGGTAGTGTACAGGTACACAACAGTGGACAGCTGGGTGTAGCACCATACCACAGCTGGGTGTAGCACCTTAAGACAGCTGGGTGCATCACCAAACGACAGGTGTGCATGCCACAGTAACCACCCCAATACCCCACACCTGCACACCAGAAATAACAATCATCTCAGCCACACCTACCGTCCGCAGGTAAAGCTAGCGAAGGACAGGAAGAAGGGTGACAAGATAGTGTACGTGTACCCAGGAGCGGGCCTACTGGCGGGTCTACCGTCCTCCTCCGGGCTTCACCAACTGCCTAGAGACCGCCCCCGTCCCGGACAAAACAAATATGGCCAACAGAGTCCGCAAGAAAACGGTCGACGATCTCAAGAAAGATGTAAGGATTTGAGATTTTGTGTTATTGTGTGTTGGGGAGAGTAAATTTTATACAACAGTGACTGGCTGGAAGTGTACAGGTACACAACAGTGACTGGCTGGTAGTGTACAGGTACACAACAGTGACTCGTGGCTGGTAGTGTACTGGTACACAACAGTGACAGTGACTGGTAGTGTACAGGTATACAACAGTGACTGGTGGCTGGTAGTGTACAGGTACACAACAGTGACTGGCTGGTAGTGTACAGGTACACAACAGTGACTGGTGGCTGGTAGTGTACAGGTACACAACAGTGACTGGCTGGTAGTGTACAGGTACACAACAGTGACAGTGACTGGTAGTGTACAGGTATACAACAGTGACTGGTGGCTGGTAGTGTACAGGTACACAACAGTGACTGGCTGGTAGTGTACTGGTACACAACAGTGACTGGTGGCTGGTAGTGTACAGGTACACAACAGTGACTGGCTGGAAGTGTACAGGTACACAACAGTGACTCGTGGCTGGTAGTGTACAGGTACACAACAGTGACTCGTGGCTGGTAGTGTACTGGTTCACAACAGTGGCTGGTAGTGTACAGGTATACAACAGTGGCTGGTAGTGTACAGGTACACAACAGTGACTGGTGGCTGGTAGTGTACAGGTACACAACAGTGACTGGTGGCTGGTAGTGTACAGGTACACAACAGTGACTGGTGGCTGGTAGTGTACTGGTACACAACAGTGACTGGTGGCTGGTAGTGTACTGGTACACAACAGTGACTGGTAGTGTACAGGTACACAACAGTGACTGGTGGCTGGTAGTGTACAGGTACACAACAGTGACTGGTGGCTGGTAGTGTACAGGTACACAACAGTGACTGGTGGCTGGTAGTGTACAGGTACACAACAGTGACTGGTAGTGTACAGGTACACAACAGTGGCTGGTAGTGTACAGGTATACAACAGTGGCTGGTAGTGTACAGGTACACAACAGTGACTGGTGGCTGGTAGTGTACAGGTACACAACAGTGACTGGTGGCTGGTAGTGTACAGGTACACAACAGTGACTGGTGGCTGGTAGTGTACTGGTACACAACAGTGACTGGTGGCTGGTAGTGTACTGGTACACAACAGTGACTGGTGGCTGGTAGTGTACAGGTACACAACAGTGACTGGTGGCTGGTAGTGTACAGGTACACAACAGTGGCTGGTAGTGTACAGGTACACAACAGTGACTGGTGGCTGGTAGTGTACAGGTACACAACAGTGGCTGGTAGTGTACAGGTACACAACAGTGGCTGGTAGTGTACAGGTACACAACAGTGACTGGTAGTGTACAGGTACACAACAGTGACTGGTGGCTGGTAGTGTACAGGTACACAACAGTGACTGGTGGCTGGTAGTGTACAGGTACACAACAGTGACTGGTGGCTGGTAGTGTACAGGTACACAACAGTGACTGGTGGCTGGTAGTGTACCGGTACACAACAGTGGCTGGTAGTGTACAGGTACACAACAGTGACTGGTAGTGTACAGGTACACAACAGTGACTGGTGGCTGGTAGTGTACAGGTACACAACAGTGACTGGTAGTGTACAGGTACACAACAGTGGCTGGTAGTGTACAGGTACACAACAGTGACTGGTAGTGTACAGGTACACAACAGTGACTGGTGGTGGTAGTGTACAGGTACACAACAGTGGCTGGTAGTGTACAGGTACACAACAGTGACTGGTGGCTGGTAGTGTACAGGTACACAACAGTGACTGGTGGCTGGTAGTGTACTGGTACACAACAGTGACTGGTGGCTGGTAGTGTACAGGTACACAACAGTGACTGGTGGCTGGTAGTGTACAGGTACACAACAGTGACTGGTGGCTGGTAGTGTACAGGTACACAACAGTGACTGGTGGCTGGTAGTGTACAGGTACACAACAGTGACTGGTGGCTGGTAGTGTACAGGTACACAACAGTGGCTGGTAGTGTACAGGTACACAACAGTGACTGGTGGCTGGTAGTGTACAGGTACAC